ACCAATTTCTGTCGCTACGGCCTAAAAAATTGGGACTTTTATTTTGCGCTAAAAAAAAGGACTGACTCTAAAAACTATACAAGTCCCTCGTAAAGAGGACACACATTTGGCGAAAGAACGCCAACGCCGTTTGTTTCTTTATATATTTGCTAAGACAAAACACGAAAAGTAGGGGATAAAGAATACTATGCCAAAATAGAACGGCAAGTATGAATAGGAACTGGAATTATCATTGCAGTTGAAGCGAAAAAGCTTCGACGTCAAAATTATGCCATATTCGCTGAAAAGCCATTGAATAACTCCTATAACCCTTCGTAAAAAAAAGTATTTAGAAGAATCTTTTATGGTGGAAAGTTGGTCAAAAAAGTGGCGACGCCAAAAATGGATTCGCATTCGTTATCACGAAAATGAGCAACGCAAAGGCGACAGTTGCCTTAACCTATGTATTTCGTATTCGCGATCTGATGCATATTCTCTTACTCGTTTCCTTGAAAAAAAAAAAGTCCGGTCGGGAGACTGTGGGGTGGTTGGTCAAGGTATGGCGTTGCAGATCTTGACTATTGCACAGTGGAGGGAGGTGATCTGCGAATCGTTCATCCCCGCATGCTCGCACACCGTAATAAATACTACGTACCTAATCCGCAGGTGTGTAGTAGGTAGTCAGCGCGCGACGTCTATTCGAGGTTCAATTTTCGCGCTCACTTCAGAATGCCTCAGTTGGGGGCAGATGCTGTGAGTCACACGCAGTACGCAACGAACCCGTGTTGTGTTCCCATGCAAATAAAACATGTTGTGGCCGTGATGTATATGGCCAGATCTTCTTACACGCTCACGGAGTGCAAATGGGTAACTTTGAGCTGAAATGAAAGCCAACAATTAAGTGAATTGTAGTTACCCAGTGCCTGCGCGTCACCAAAATCCTTGTGTCCAGACTCACTCCGAACGGTTTTACTTCTCGCAGCGGATCAATTTAAACTTCACGACCGAAATTGTGGAGTTTGAGCAATGAGCACTCATTGTAGTTATAAAGTGTAACGTATCACTAGCCTTGTTTTAGTGTTTCTCGTCATTACGATGTACTGTTTGAGATGCACTGTTTGAAGTGTTGCGGTAGTAGGATGAATCTGATGGTGTTGAACTAGTCGAGATCGCGTTGTTCTTGCTCGACCCGAAAAAAATCGTATTAGCTAAGTGCTTCGCTACAACACAGATATCCTCCATGGAACGCCCTCCATGAGTCGCCATGTATTTCTTTCGATGAATTACAAACATGAACGCCAAGGAAGTGATATATACATATATCCAATTTTTTTCAGTTCATTGTAAAAGCCGCGCAACTTCGTTAGTAGTGAAGGGTCTGAAGGAAACCATCGAGTCGGCCCAGCAACACCGGTGTACAGCTATTGTCTTATTTTACCCTCTCAACTGGCACCCTACCCATGCCTTGTGAAAGAGCTCTCCCGTGTTCATCCTGGACCAGTATCACATTTAATCTTTTAGCGCTTTGTGATTGAACTTACGGAAGTGAGAATGTGAATCATCTGCGTTGGCATTTTCACGTCTTGCTTAATCTGAGCGGACCAGGCGATGCCTCATTACGCCACATTGTAAGGGGAATACCGTTATAACACAGACCTAGGCTGTCAGCTGACATGGTCTTGAATGAAACAAAAAACAGGTGCACTCAGCTCATCAGGACGCCTTGGTTAGTTATATTTAGAGCGAATGTAATGGGTGTATTCTATTGGGGAGCTGCACTAATTTTTTTGTGCTTTTCGATCACGTTTCAGCAAAGTACTACAGAGCACTCAAATCCGAGTACTCGTTCCTGAAATTTACAACCTTATTTTCAAGCAGAGAATCAATTTTGGTAATAAATTAATTTTTTTCTCTAAAAAATTCTTTCAAGAACCCAAACTTTAATCTCCTAAGATAGCGAGCTGTAAATCTCTCGCGGTCCGCTGCTTTGGAACAAGGGGAGCAGTTATGACTTGTTTATGATTGTTTGTTGCAAATAGCTCAAGCGTTGTGTTCTACTCTATCACTATTTTTACAATCGTATGGAAACGGCGGGGGGGGGGGGGAAGGGTGGGGCCACAGCGTAATCGTGGTGTGCAAGTCACCTTTCAACAATTTTGCTCTTCCTTGCCTACCAACAACTGTCCGCCTCGAATGCTGGCAGTCGTTTTAAGGGAACCTTTTCCACTCCGTCGCTAATGCTCATGATAGCTATATCTTCCAACTCACACCTTTTGCGCTGTAAGTGCATATGCCTCGTTATTCGTCTCTGAGCGAGATCGAATTCTGCCAATTTAATGTTCAAGACGTTCAATGATGCCTGCAGGAGAAATCAATCTGCTTTAGCTATTCTTTTTCAAAATCAAAAAGTGATAGTTCTCCTCTTGTCTCAGCTTTATACTGAGCAGCAGAAATCATGCGATCCCCTATGTCAACAAGAAATTTTTTTGCTGTATGATTGTACTTTGGCCGAAATTAATTGCGAAACTAAAGACTTCCCAAACGGTTTCAATTTTTGCTTGCAAACCAACCGGCGCCCTTACTTTCATCTTTGCGTGCACGCTACAATGCGCGCTTACCATTAGACTACCATCTATTGTTGGAAGGAAAAAGCTCTTTCAGGTTCTCCAGATCCCAGATCCATGTTTAAATCAAATTTCCTGTTACTATGTGATTGAATGTTGCAACATCCAGTCTTAACAGCCAATTGCGCAAGGTGTGCTGGTGCGGTTTGTTAAAAAGAAACGAATTCCGAATACCTTGCATCTCTGACCCACTGCTCACAGATCTTGAGGTATGTTGCGCGAACGGAGGAAGTTTCGCATGTGCAAAAGTGGACCTAACATCCGTGAGTATAACCGGGATACCCTCATCTGTCTGCAAAAGTGAGAAAACAAGGAGTTAGTGAAGTGGCGTGATTAAAATTTACATTGCATTGCACAATTACCCCTGAATCTGCCCCGCAGAAGCTCAGGAGGGACGTTGATAAACGGTTTTGGGTAGCAATGATTTTCACACCACAAAAAGATTGTATTAGTTCAGCACAATATGTAACAGGACATGATGTTGTCCATCTAGTAGCGAATGAAGACAGTTCACGATTGAGAAGCAGGTTATTTAGAGGATTTTGAAATTACAATTACAGCAGGTGGCGTCACCATAGAGTATTTCAAGATTTTTGTCTTGTGTTAGCGTAATAACTGAGGCTTGTGCTATCACATAGAACGTTCATTTCGCTTCAAATTCATATATGATCACACAGCCTACTTTAACAAATTTTTTGTTCGCGTGGCAGATCGGCCTGTTGGCCGCAAAAGAGTACGGGTGACTATGTACACAGGTTATAGCCAACAGCAACTATATCGCAATGGTCTCACATTTCAGAAAAATTCTATTTCATTATTCCCGTGTTGAAGACCCCATACGCCCAATGGTATCCTATCGAGATACACACGGCTGCGCAGCAGTGCATTATCAATCCATTCGATAGGGACGAGGACGCAGCTCGTATGACTAGATAAACCCCTTAAAACCCCTATTGTGCAGGAGCTTGTGTTTCCTTTGTAACATCACTGCAGAGCTTGTTGTTTTGAACAAAGCTGTTATTGTACCATACATTTCAGGCAGCTACAAGAGTTCACTGTATATCAGGAATGAACAATTAGAATGTGTGAATTGGCGACTAGTGGAAGAAAAAAGCGGAAAATTCGAAAAAAAAAACTAAATTGTAGGGCCGTTCCGATCAAATAGGTTCTTTCGAGAAGAGGGGACACTAGGCGCCGTGGGAGAATAGGCGAGAGACCAGAATCGGACAGAACTCAGAAACATTGCGGCTCAAGACATCCAGGACAGAAGCAGGAGCGCTACGCGGTGACCTACGGTAGATCTGTAAGCAGCCACTAATAGCGCTAGCGCGCGTTACTTTAGAGCTAGGAAAATGGCGCATGTTCTAGCTTTGCAAATAACTCTGTTCTCCCAAGTCAAGTGATTCACCTTGCCTGATCTCGGAATGTCCATTCAAATTACTTCCTCACAATTCCTCATTCGATTGACGGTGATTCTACGGAGTTGAGTGTTAGGGGTTTGAATTCGCATTATCTCACTAGTTCCTGCCTTGTTCCTTCTAGTGGGAAACAGCTATTTCCTGGTGAACTTGTGTACCAGTCAATATTTTCTTCTACTATTTTTTCACCTATTTAGTAATCATCGAATCTAGAGCTTGACGTATCGGTTCAAACTACAAATGAGAATCCCAAGACTACCTGAATGAATTTTCTGACTTTGTGTCTACTTCTAAATTGGACACTACCGTTGGAGATCGAAGATTGATAATTCGAGATTCTATAAAAGTAAAGATGAATTATCCTATATTCGATTAAGGTTCACTTAGCGCTTACCAACTTCGCCCTCGCAGATTACTTTCGGGGAGCATGTTTCATGTAAAGGAAACTTCTTCAAAAGTCAGATCCGAGTACAATCGGACAAGTGTGACATTATTTTCGTTGCATCGACGTGGCCTTCAAATGCGATCATCTTAGTGTTGACTTAGTATACTGACAGTGAGTGTAAGTGATTGTCAATTAAAAGTCCATGAAAATGAAAAAGCAGAACTGCAAGGTGCGTCGCTTTGGAGTCCCCTTCGCTATCCTGCTGTAGGGTGGGTTAATCGCACCACGACATTAAGTAACCATGTAAGCAACTAATCATCCCGTTGAAGGACTTTCACCAGCATCGCTTTCACCAGCTCGACCATTTTTCTGTGTTATGCATGCCACAGCCAAGATGTAGAGCTTTCGTAAGTGCATTCAGAATACGTTCGAGACCCAACTATGAGAATGTGGATTGGAGAAGGCCGAATCATGAATACGTTTTTCATTATTGCACTTTAATCTCCAGCGCCTTACAATAGTCCGCCATAGTGCATTGAAGATGCGATAAGCAGCTTTCGCTCCGAAAGTTTTCAAATGGAATATAACTTACTGCCCAAAATACGCGGTTTCGAACTCTACCCATTCCACTTTGGATTCGCTGATGACCTTTTGAAAAAAGGCAAAAATGCTCTTCATGCAATACTCGGTACTGAAATACGAAAACCACGATCACGAAAGTACGATTCCAAAACACTCTGGTTAGCAAGTTAGATTTCCTTTATCAGTTTCTAAAAGAATTTAATTCGGTTGAGAATGAAGTACTACCACTACCACTCACTGGCAAGGATTGCGTTGTCTAGCTAAATCCACCATGCATGCAAGTGAACGGTACCCACAAGACCACGTATCAGTCTGAAATGAAAAACCTAACTAAACTTCGACAGGGGATCACACGAAAGGATGTTGAAAGACAGCGGATGCGTGAGTTCAGCCCATATACATCCATTACTACGACAGACTATGCGGAGCTGTGTACGAGGTCAGGGGAGACCTCAAGAAGAGCAAAGCAGCTGTGTTGTCTAGAGGGACGGGGTGTTGGGAAAATCTTGCAATGCTCACCTAAGCTCTGACCGATACAACATCTAGCGACTGCTCTGTCGCGACTCGCTCTTGAACATCATAAAAAAACTCCGCTTTATTCTGCATGCGCTGTTGAAAACAAGTACTTCTATGTCGATTTAGGAAAGAATGCTTCAAAACACTGGCAGCTATCATTCGATCTTCTCGCTGTAGGTGTAAAGCCAACTACTCACCTGATTCATGCTTAACGGGATTGGCAGAACACTAGGGGCCGTATGCTATGCTTTCGGGGAAGGGGATGCGTCCCCTAAGTCGTATGCTATCCGTCCCCGAAGCTCATTCGGGGAGAGGCCACGCCCACCGAGCTTCGGGGACGCGTCCCCCTACCATTATCGTTGGGGGAAGCATCCCCGAAGGCTAGAGTAGTCGCCGCGGCGCGCACTATTTTCGCTGGAGCACATTATTTTCTTATGGGAATTACATATTATCCTGAAGCTGCGCTTCATTGAAGCGTAAAGAGGATTATGCTGCAAAGCATCGGTGGCGTCGTTGGTGTCTGCGCAAGATGCAATGGATCATATGTCCATGGCTGTGATAACAGCTGCTAATACTGGTTCAGCGCTATGGATAGAGGGAAAATTCTGTAAAAATCAAGAACCATGTTCCACTCCAACAAACTAGGATCCTGCGCTGAAAAAAAGGTGCATGCGTCTTGTGCAATATACAAATTCATGCGCACCTGTTCACTACGCATCATGTTTAGATACGAAGTTAGATAGGATAGAGATTGCATTTATTTACTGATTTTGTAAGTAGAGTACTGTGTTGTTGGAATATCTGCTGTCAATTGAGTATTCACAGTCTCACACAGCTTCTCTCTGTCTGGTCCTTGTACGTTCTTAATGGGCAGCTCTCCCGACTCTCGCGTACTAGAAATTAGGGTCACAAAGCGAGCGGTAGGGAAATTGATAAAATTGCAGTTCATAATCGGGAAAAACACGTTCTTGGTATTATCAAACGATAGAATAAAGCACTGAAATGGATTTAAAGAAGAAATAACCTTTCAGAAAAAAAAACGATCAGTCATATTGTGAGTAGAACATAGTATAAACGATCACGCGTCCGTGTCGGCGCCCTGGTCACCCACGTCAAAGTATTCGGTCCACACATTGACTCTAATACTTCTCCTTCTCCGCCTGTGCTCCACTTCATTCCCGCTGGCATCTAAGGACCCACCCCTCGAGCTCCTGCTGTGTCAGACCGAATTGCTGACATCCTCACTGCCGGTCCCTCTGTAGTGGCCCACTACGGAGAACTGTTGTACCACGATACCTCTCCACAAAATTTGTATTCATAAATAATATGGATTTATCCTCACATAGTATCCCTTATTGTGTCTCGATCGAATAATAAAACTGAACGCAGCTAACAGGTATTCACTTGTTAAACGCAATTGTATGCGTGGCTTTAAGGTCATTCGAATTTCGCGCTCTATAAGCTCTGCGTCTTCTCTCCCCGAATGAATTTCGGGAGCATAGCATACGCCCTGCTTCGGGGACGTCTGCTTCGGGGATTTTCCCCGAAGCAGAACTCTTCCCCTTCCCCGAAAGCATAGCATACGGCCCTAGGCTGAGGACAGTTATTAAAGTAATCACAACTTCTGAGATAAACGGCACCGCCGACTCATTTATATGGGGACAAGATTCAAACATGCGTGAGCCCAGCTAAGATCCATCACGATTGTCACGTGAGAAAGCGCCCTATTTTTCGAGTTTATGCGATTGAAAGACTCCGACACTAATAAAGGTAGAAGCGCGTCCATGGTGAAGCCCTGGCCTATTAGGGCGTTCTTACTCAATACATGAAGACCCTACAGCAATTTCGCGACTAGGATTTCATTTCAGCCCATGTCACAGTCCGCGATTAAAGAGAATGCGACGCGGACAAAAAGGAAAGAACACGCTTCTTTGGCGAGACCCCATAGGATTTGCATGCATGGCTGTAAGATTGCGGACGACCGCTTCACACCACATCCACTTGTGATCACAACATATGGTCGCTTCCGAGGCGTGGCCCTAACGAAGAGCGACGTCTGGTGCAGAAATGCCAATGGTTCCAACGAATCAATGCCTCCAACTAACATTATAACTGGCAAGCAAGCAACTTGTGTCCACCCAAACAGTTTTCATCACTTTTCTCGCTTGAATGATTCCCCTCACATAATGATATGTTATGCCCTTTATCGTTTTTGAATTCTTGATTCTTCAGGATTAGGCATGAGACAGGGACGAATGGAGTTTCTGTCGAACGGGAACAGCTGACAGGCGGCAGGCCGTATCAGTTACTATATATTTATGATTATGATTATTATTACTGCTTCACTTGAGCAATCGTTTTTCAAAATTATGATAGGCTATTCGAAGCATCTCGTACTCTGGTTCTACCTTGTCGCGGTGTACGAGCTTGAGGCGAGGTCGGAATATTCGCCAGAATAGGGTTGCGCCGAAACCCCATACCGATTCTCGTGACTAAAGAACCCGAAGTGCCCAAGCTCATGGTGGGACGGCGCTCTCCTTGAGCAACAGGAACGCCCTAGTGAAGGCTATCCTCTGGGACCAAAATTACTACCACCACTTCTCAAATCTAAGTATTCAAAGCATTACCTGCCGATCATAGCTGCGAGAGATAGCCATGTGTATTGTTTTGTCTTGAAACAAATGTGAAAAAAGCGAATAAACTTGTTTTCGAATTGGTTCCGTCAACTGAATTGACACAGATTACAAATGTTGCACATCCAAAAGGGTTGTTCCTTAATTTCTGAAGAGGGACTTAGGAATGGTACTGAAACCTGTTTGAAGGGGCTAACGCTGCAAAGAAAACCACGGTAACCCACTGAAGTAGCTACAAAATGGCCGATGCAAGCTATTTTCTACAGCTGGCAACTGGAATTACAAACGTCAGAGCTGAGCCTATGCAACTGAGCAACTCAGTCTCCCCCAAACTTAGAATAGACTAAGCGGGGGTGGTGAGGCGTGTTCCTGGGGACTGATAGGAGACGGCCCTGCAAATGCTTGGGATTAGCTTACGCGGCAATTGACGCGCCCCATGTGGCAACGCATGTCTACTCACTTCATTGTGAGCCCGCCGCCCTTTTGCAATATCCTCTTCCTGCAGTATGCATAGACCCCTTCTTTCCTATCCCATTTATCATAACATCCTCTTTGAAAGTGTTTTGCTTTATAATTGCTCATCTTACCAGGTTAGTAACGTTTGAATCTTTTTCAACAAGGGAGTCATACAGTACAACAATTCTTGTTTGTGGATCATAGTCAACTACGACATAGTGAACTCTATCAGGATCGAATATAATTTGATGAGCTGGTCGACCAACATTCACAAGCGTTTTCAACGATTGCGGTTCCACCTAAACGATTGGCTTTTACCTTTCCCTTTAAATGACAATGCATTCTGTAAACGATGAGCAGTATCTCCTTCTCTGGTGCAATGACTATTTATTGTACTTCATGGTATTGTATTGTGCGTATTATTTACCTCTATTTTCAGTATTAGTTTATGTATATTTTAGGTTGCAGCTCTTCATAACATAAGGAATAGTTGTGGATGTCGTGTCC